GTTTGCTTTTGACCTTAAGCAATGTGCAAGCAATATTAGAATAGCTGAACTAGACAAAATTAGTAGTGTATTTTGTTTAATTTTACCAGAGTTTATTTCGAAAAAAAGTAGGTAGTGTAAATTTGAATTAAATGTCTGTAATCTGTATTTATACTAGACAAAATTAAACGGTTTGGACCCAGGACTAAAGTCAGTCTGCCTAGTTAGAAGGTAAAAAAATACTGTTCAATATACAATGGTAATAAGATATCAATAATAACAGTATCTTCAAAAAAAATACACAGATAAGTAAAATAAACTAGATTGTTAACTAGTGAGAAGAACGGAAGTGGACGTCGGCCATTTTTGTAGGATTTATGTGTGTTGGAGATAATACATATGTATTATACCTGTGATTCTGCGCTATCAACTTGACTTATAATAGTTATAATCAGTGATAACAGTTATAAACGTGTGATAAGGTTCTAATTCCCGCAAAGATGTAATCTAGTTTATTAATAATAATTATTAGTGTATAATAATTATTATTATATATATCTGTGTTTTAAGATAAGGAGTAAAATATATTTTATCATAATATAGAGTAGGTACCAATCGCTTAATAGGGAGGACTTTTTTTTCCTTTTGTGTGGCCATACTGCGGTTTTATTAATTTTGTTTACTTCACTATCGCATGCAATTTAGTGTATAAATTATAACTAGTTTACATTCGACTAGTTCATATTAATATTATCACTCTATGTTTGGACTGCATACACGTAGTGTAGAGTACGGTTTATCGGTTTCCATTGTACTACAATGATTGTGGCGATTAAATTATAGTAATTATTATGGAAATGACAATGGCGCGTTTATCGGCTGCGATGAAGTCACAGTGTTGTTTTCATGGGTCAAAGGTCGCAGAGGTTCAATGGTTAACAGCAGCTGCTGCGGTACCAAAACAATCAAACCCAGGTTATAACCGATGAGCTAGATTACTGCGGTAAAGCCGCCATTGTTTTGTTGAACAAAATACATTTCATATTGTAGCTGTTACACGATAGATTTTCAACTATAAAGGTTTTTTGATTGGTTAAACTTAATGCAGTAGGGCCAAATAATATTATAGCGTCAAAAAAACCGTACACGTTATTTACAATAATAACGTAAACTGATAAGAAATACTGATAACGAGTGACTGATAACACTACAGATGTTTGATAACATTTTTTTGAATACACTGTTTAAAGTGCACTACCTGATTTTATTTAATCTTTGTTAATATTTTTCAAGAAAACAAAATTTATATTAGTCGATGAATTGCCAAAGAAAGATGACAAATTATTTAACAATTATGTATTATATAATAATAATAAATAATAATAATAATAATATATATAATTCAGACACTTATTTAGCAAACATAAAAGTTTGATCAGTAAATAAAAAAAATGGGAATTTATAATAATTGAAAAAAACAGAAAACATGTGAATTAATGATGATAATATTTTATGGGTAATAAAAAGTTGAATGACTTAAAAACAATAAAAATAAACAGCGCACTATAATGATATTTATTGAAACCATTTGAATTTACTAATTTAGCATCACAAAAGTCCAAATGTTTTTGAGTATATTTTATAATTATTTTGTCAGCCAAAAGTTCTTGACTATAAAATACTGTTTGAATATTATGAATTTCTTCAAAACCATAAGTACATAAAAACATTTATAATAATATATTGAAAATTTTTTAATGTTTGCGCTGTCCTGGTAATTATGAGTTGACATTTCAGACAGGTACAAACTTCTTCTTAGGCAGTTCGATGACTAATTTGAGTTATAATTTTTTATTTTTGGTGGAAAATGGTCAAACCTAGGAAACATACAAGTGTCAGTAATTCAGTACAGGATGTAATGCAATTTAAGAGTTTGAACATAAAATTTATCAGTAATTCTACGTCCAGAAGCAAGATATTCTAAACTAAGACTTTATTTGCAAAGGTTAGCAGAGGTGAAAATATATGCGAAAGACTCCATAGAACTGAACAATACTCCTAATATTAGCCTGACAATTTATAGAAACATACATTGTTTTTGAGTCAAGACTCGTCCTTGAAATCCTTTGTATTTCTAATTATTATCAAGAAACTCAGAGTTCTTAGGGCTTTTGAGCAAATTTGTTCAATTAAGACAAAAGATTAAATTGAAACAGCACTCCGAGAACGCACAAAAAGTGTTAACTTGTTCTAGGCGAACCCCAAAAATGTAGTATTCATTGTCTATTTAGATGTGTTTAATAATTACAAACCCATCGGTACGAGACCAAACACTTAGTGTGATTGATCAACTTACAAATGGTGTAGTACAAGGCAATGCACTTTGGTGTGTCCAATATCGTTTGCGGACGATATTGTGGTTTTAGTGGATGAGAGTACGGCTGAAGTGTCAGACTATTGGTGACAAACAGTATTGAGAATAAGTAGAGAGGTCTGCACCGAAATAACATTATGGTTAAAGAGCAAGTGGTTAACAGAATAGAGGGTATAAGTACATTGGGATCGGTTAGAAAAAAGGCTGGATGAGAATATGTAGTGGGAGCAGAACTAATTATCATTGGATGAGATGGAAAGGGACAGTAATTATTAAAGGGTTATGTGAAAAGTACAGATAGGTGAGACCGGAAATGATGTATAACGTGGAAGTGAATGTTTGGTATTGCACAGGAAATGTGCAACGACAGGAGTTAGACAGGATCAGGTGTGAGTGTATACAAGATGCATTTCAGGAGAGTTGCCAAAAATGACAGAGAATAGATTGAGATGGTTTGGGCGTACTGCTAGAAGATAGTATATATTATATTGTGAATGATTTAAGAGATGGACGTGCGAAGCTATGATGAATATGGTGGCTGATGGGAAGTGATAGAGCTGATAGGGCTGATGTGTGGATAGAAAGGATTGGGCTTGTCGACTGTTATATTTGTAAAGTTTCTTGGTAAATTGATGTATGAAAAAAAATGTGTTAAAAAACCTAAAGCCAAGTTTGTAGACGATAAAACCAAGCGAACCGTTCGAAGAATATTATTTTTAAAATCGTTTACAATATTCATCCGGCGTTTGTGTGTACAGCAAACAGTCGGTACCGAGGACGGCTTCGGCTGTTATTTTGTGTGTGTATGAACAAAACAAAAAAAAAAAAACGACGTGCAGATAATACTATACCTACAGATGTAAATGTAAAAAAAAATTAATAATAAATAAAAAAGCTCGGATTTTACATATTTTATTTTATTATTATAATGTTTGTTCGGCGCGCGTACCAGGGAATCGACGCAATATGGAATGGATCGTCGACGACTGCTCATTTAATAGCAATAATAATAAAGGGGGTTAACGCTTTTTTTCAATTACACAGGACCGATTCGTTTGCCCGTGTCGGTATTAACCTAACGGAAGATCGCATGTTATTTTAACGCGTACAGCCCGAATAGATCCTATAGATCCTCGGCCGGCGGTCGCACACGCGCCGCTCAGGATTACATCTAGTTAAACTCTTGTTATTGCTGCACCGCCGTCTGTCAGCGATATTCATTATTAATGCCACGGTTTAAAGAATATTACAATAACAATACAGTGCAGCGTGTGTAGCAAATTATATACCTACAAAAAGGCATTTTTTAATCGATAAACTATATATGTACATAATCCAAACGTTTTGCAAAATAGAAGTGGTTTGATTGGCAAAAAAACCTTTATATCTGCGGTTCTGTACCATCAAATTGTTATAACAACTATTAACATGTGATAACACTATTATAAACGGTTCTAATTCCTGCAAAGACAGTGGAAAATGGTAATTTCAGTTATCTCTATTGGCGGCATGTACATTTAGCAATCTAGTTTATTATAAATATCTGTGTTTAAATCTTTGTTTTATAAAGAATATTTACAATTTGTGCTGCAAGTCATAATAAGCAAATAGTTACATTGTTTTATGTACAGAAATAAAAATAAACAAGTTTAAATCTTATGACTGACATCTGCACAATAATTTATACTAATCCATGCGGCCTGTATCAGTATTTTTGAAAATTTCCTTTGTTTTCGATCACACATGTATATATAAAACTAGATAATACATTTTTAGACACATATTTTTCTTAACAGGGCATTTATCGACTTCCACCACCTTTTCGCATCGAACCATTTATTAAAAAGTGACATTTTTGTTTCTTAAAAAGCTATAAAGATTTCGGCAAAGTCGATACTTCAGCGGAGCTCCAAAATAAAAAATATTACAATACTCTTAGCGAGTCAACTTTTACACAAAACAATATCGAATATCATATTTGATATTCGATTTATAGGAAATATTCCTATAAAATATTTTTAAATAATATTTTGTGTACACGCAGTGAAATAGACAATAATAATATGGAAACAACCGGTTTGTTGCATTAACATGGAATTGGTGACATCCGCGATAACGAGATATTGCAGTTGACTCTACTGAACAAATAGTATTGTATTTATAGGAATTTTTTCGTTAAAAATCTGCTGTAATTGTCATATGAGATTCGATTGCTAACAATGCCAACGCAGAATATTTTTCTTGGCTAATAGTAGATCTTAAATTGTTTTTGACTCATATCACGAGAAAAATATGCAGCTAAACAGTTGGCAGAAAACCGTTGCCAAAAACAAATACTACATATCATACTGTAGATAGTGAACTACAATACACTTTTAGTATCAACGATTATTGTTAATATTTTTTTCTACACAAAACTAATACAAAATACCATGTTTATAAATGTTAACAATCAAATACATAAAAGCAGAATACGAATGTAAATATTTTAACTACTTTAGGCATTGTAGGATGCGCATTAGTTTAAAAACATTATTTTTACACCAACATTTTGTTCACTCATCTTGTTCTCATAACTCAAGAATATTGTCTAATTATTGTGAAAGCTACTTAGTAACATTATGAAGCTGCAATTAAGAATTATTTTCTTAATCCTAGAGTTGGTTTTCTGTTTTTTAACGGAGGGCAATGGTAAAGATGACGAAAATGAAAAGAAAATGAAAGAAGAATTCAACATGAACGGTTGTACGAAAAGGTTTTACGCAAGCCGACTGCCTCCGAAATTACCAGCGCGATATCGGATTCAGCAGTTTATCAAAAAATACAAGTAAATACAAAAATCTTTTAGGGATTAAAACAACTCGTTTAGGACTTTTTTTTAAATTATCGAAATTATGTAATTACAATAATATTGTGACTACTTAGGTATTGTAAAAATAAATTACGTCTTTGTTTTATGTAAAAAATTAAAAATATACTGGAAATCTACTGTTTTTCATAGTTATTCTTTTTTGTAACATTCCAGTCTGCTCTGTTCTTTAGTTGGATTTTTGTTCATAAAACATCCCTAACTCCTGACATGTTGTTACCGCTGGTTCTGTCTCTTCCAAATCAGCGGGTTTTTTTTTCCAGCATTCAAAATTTCCATTGCCTAACCTAATGCTATAATGTGAATAATACGTCATAATTCATGATCGTGACCGAAGCCTAGGAAGTAAAGTGCCTTTTGATCCCCTACCGTCATCGTTTATAACTTCTTTCATTCTCAACGGTGGTTTTTAGATAAACTCATTTGCAAATTGACAGCACCATTTTTAAACGTTGTAAATTTAAATCATTCTGTAATGCCTTAAGACGAAATGAGTTTAATACAAATAATATTCAAAACCAAGTTGAATTGTCGCATGTTTTTAGGTGGAACGTTTGCAACAATTCATGTACATTGCACCGTATGAGGTTGCCTTTATTGAAACGTTGAACGCATACAAGACACTAAGTTCCAGACCAATTGAATTTAGCACTAACGACATAACGACACTGACTTCAAAATGTGACGACGGCGAATCGCTGAACAATAGAATTCTAACTCAAATTAAATTTTATCGCGGATTACAAGAGATACTATGCACGAACATCGCACTGCTTAAGGTCGCTTTAGCTGAAAACGTATTTGATTTAGATTATATTGCTGATAACGTCTACTGTATGATAGACATGTCGTACGTGGGGAGATATGCAGTAAGCGCTTGGCTATGGAAATTGCATGTACAACTCTTGGAACTAAAACAAAACGTGTTGGACAGAGAACAGAAATTTCTAGACGAATACATACCAGAGATTGAAGAAAGTCTACGGAAAATTTTAACGGAGTGTCGTGGAAATAATTACATAGTGGATGATGATAATCTAAAGTCGGATAAGTTTTTGGAAATGTACGACCGAAAATCTAATCAAATTTTCATCGCGGACAGTTATAAGTCTACATTGCGCATCGATGTCGGAAATTTGTTGTTGGACCACTTGTGGTGGTTGGCTCGAGGATACTCTGATGACATAACTAGCCTTTCATTTGGTTGGCCAAATATATATCCTGTAATTAAAAAGGAAATTGACAATCTCTCGGATCAATATGAAAGTGGGGAATGGCCAAAACAACCGTTCAAACACATTAAGTTACACAAAGTTCTTTTGGACATCATAAAAGCGAGATGGTACAGTCATATTTTCATCATTTTATTTGTTTATCAAAAAATAGGAAGTCAAGCTCAAAGGCTTTTTGATACGCTAATAGAGATAATAAACGAAGAAGTACATTTTTTCCATACTGACGACCCATTCTTTAACGACGTACTAAATATATTGAGTGAATTATATACACCCGAAGATGAAATGCTAAATACAATTATACGAAAACTAGAGGTCGAAGTAAACTACATTATGGGAAGTGTAACTGAACCAAATTCTGATTATGGAGAGCCTACAATTGATTTGGAGTTGATTACAAAAGCGTCTAGAAATTTTAAGGAACCAAAATTTCAAGCAAATCTTGTAGATAGATTTCGTAGCTTCATTTCAGATACTGAACGTCTAATGTCTGGTACAAATTTAAGTATACTAATGTTCTACATAAGAGGAAGTCAATTCGCTGACTTTGTTTTTCCAAATGAATGATGGAAATACTTTGAATATCAGATGTTAAATAAATATATTTTATTGCAAATTATTAACCAAGTATGAAAAATTCACATTTACTATGAAAAAATCATATTTACCATTTAACTAAATTGTTGTTCATTGCTAAATGATATTTAAACTATTCTTTCGATTCATAATAATAGATCGTCCTACATTATGCTGCTGTCTGTATAAATTAGGAATCTAAATAAAACATATAATAATTATCAATAATTTTGTTTCCTATTTAAATTTAAAAAAATGTATTTTTATTTTTCTACGTTTTTAGTATGTATAATTAAGGAGGTTCAAGTAACAGAGTTTGAATGTGGCAAAATTGGATATTAGGATTTAGCTGTGTTTGACTCTCGGTTAAATTTACTGCTGACTTTGGTTAATTAAAGATAAAAATATAATTTTTTTCTTCAATATTTTATCACAGATACATTTAACACAATTTATTCTATTATAGATTTACTTAAGAACCTTTTATGTGTAAATAACTCATTGCCTTAGTTGCGCAACCAAATTAAAATTGTTTTAAGCTTTGCCATTAAAAACATTTCTAGACGGGATTCCTTTAAAAATAAAGGAATTATTTCGTTAAATTTGGTTTTAATTGTTGTATGAGATTAGTTTGCTTACCATGCCAAAGAAAAATATTTTCTTGGATCATAGTAGACCTTTTATTGTTTTCGGCTCGTATTGTCGGAACATTATAATAAAGTGCAGCTTAACAGTTGGTAGAAACTATGAAGCCTCGGAAATATACAAGTTTCAGTAATTCAGGTTGTAATGTCATTTAAGAGTTTAAACATTAAATTTATTATTATAAGATATTCTAAACTAAGACTATATTTGCAGAGATGAATAATATATGCGAAGGACTCCATAGAACTGAACAACACTCCCAATATTGGCCTGACAATAGAAACCCACATATTTGATTTTTCGGATGAGTGAGCTTTCTGAAAGCGATCGAAAGTGTGAACTCTTTAAATAAAAATAAATACTTCTGTTCTTTATAAGTTGTACAGTGTACATTACGCATTATAATCCGTATCAACTGTACTTATAAATAGATGAATTCGAATTTTATATTGTACGACTGATAAGTCATATGTTTCATATGTATCACACGCGGTTGCAGTGGTGAAACAAATTAAAAATATGTACAGGAGAAATATAATTTCGTCGTTTTGGTCACAATGCAGCTCGTCATTTAGCTTACTTCATAATATTTTACTTATCGCGATCCCTCGTGGTGTACCATGTGATGTGTAGGGTTATCAATATGAAATACTTCACCTAGGTACTCGGTAATGATTCATTGAAATAATGAACAATATAATCTTTTCCAAAATATTCGTTGGTCACATTCCAAGTTACGACGTCCTATGGGTCACACTGAGAACATATCCATATTTACTTTCCCAGAGAAACTATGCCTTGGAACACAAGGTCAAATGTACAAAAACGTCACCATGTGTGAAGTTCAATCAACAGTTAAGCAGTATCTGAAAAATAATTTTACAACTTTGTTTAGTAACATCATATTCGATATTTCTTATAAAATATTAAAAAATAATATTTTGTGTACAAGCAGTGAAATACACAATTATAATAACAACCGTTTTGTTGCATTAACAGGGAATTGGTGGCAACCGTGACAACCAGATATTGTAGTTAACTCTACTGAATAAATAGTATTGTCTAAATCATTATTTACTTATTTCTATCTATAATACGAATACAAAAAAACCTAGATGTAAAATTGTTTTAGACTATGGTATTACACAATTATAACATGAGAAAAACTTTAAACAATTTAAATTCTAGACTGGATCATTTAAAATAAAAGGATTTTTTCTTTAAAATCTGTTTTACCTATTACCTACGTCGGATCAGATTGGTAATAATGGCAAGGCAGAAGAGTTTTCTTGGCTTATAGTAGATCTTACATTGTTTTTTTACCCATACTACGAGAAAAACCCACAGCCAAACAGTTGGCAGAAAACCGTTGTCAAAAACAAATACTACAATAGTGAACTACAGTATACAAAATATAATGGTCATAAATTTTACAAACAAATATATAAAACCTCAATACGAGTATGTAAAATTTTTTACCACTTTAGGCAATGTCAAGTACGTATTGAATTAAAAATATTATTCGTAAACCAAGATTTGTTCACTTATCTCGTCAGCATAACTCAAGAATATTGTCTTATTATTGCGAACGCTAGTTAGTAACATTATGAAGCTGCAATTAGGAATTATTTTCTTAATACTAGAGTTCGTTTGCTGTTTTTTAACGGAGGGCAATGGTAATGATGACAAAAATAAAAGAGAAAATGAAAGAAGAATCCAACATGAACAGTTATCCGAAAAGGTTTTACGCAAGCCGACTGTCTCCGAAATAACCAGCGCGATATCGGATTCAGAAATTTATCAAAAGATACAAGTACTTAACAAAAATATATTATTAGGACAAAAAATACTTGTTTAGGAAAAATGTTAAATATACTATACTAAACTGCTCTCACGTACCTTCCAGATGTTACCATATCTACTGTTTTTCATGGTTATACTTCTGAGCAACATTGCAGTCTGCTCCGTTCTTTAGTTGGATCTCTGTTCAATGATTTTATTCCATCAATTATCCCTAACTCCTGACTTCTTTTCATCGATGGTTCTATCTCTTCTAGATGTGTAGTGTTTTTTATTCAGCACATACAAATTCTTTTGCGGACAAATTCGTTGGGCGCTCCTTACCGTTCACCACCTATTGATGTTCTCTACAATTAAAATTTCCCTTGTCAATGCAATGCCCTTTTTGCTTCTGATTGTAATTCTGCCTTCTAGCTAATTGTTCTAATCCTTTTAATTCCTCACTTCCTCCTTTTGATCTCCTAAGTATAGAACCGAGACCGTGAATGTGAATTGAGCTTTAGCCTAGGAAGTAAAGTCGCTCTTGATCCCCAGCCGACATCTCTCTTATAACGTCTTGCATTTTCAACGCTGGTTTTTAGATAAATTTATTTGTAATATGTCAGCTCTATTTTTAAACATTGTAAATTTACATAATTTTATAATTTCTAAAGACAAAACACGTTTAATACAAATAATATTCAAAATCACGTTGAACTATCGCATATTTTTAGGTGGTACGTTTGCAACAATTTATGTGCATTGCTCCATATGAAGTTGCCTTTATTGAAACAATGAAGACATACAACACACTCAGTTCCAGACCACTTGAACTTAGCACCGACGACATAAAGACACTGACGTCAAAATCTAACGACGGCGAATCGCTGAACAATAGAATTCTAACTCAAATTACATTTTACCGTAAATTACAAGAGATACTATGCACGAACATCGCACTGCTTAAGGTCGCTTTAGCTGAAAACGTATTTGATTTAGATTATATTGCTGATAACGTCTATTGTATGATAGACATGTCGTACGTTGGAAGATTTGCAGTAAGCGCTTGGCTATGGACATTGCATGTACAACTTTTAGAACTAAAACGAAACGTGTTGGACCAAGACAAATTTAAAGACGAATACTTACCAGGGATTAAAGAAACCCTACGAAAACTGTTAGCGGAATGCCAGGATAAAAAATACATAAAGAACGAAGATCATCTACCGTCGGGTAAGTCTTTGGAAATGTACGACCAAAAATATGAAAGATTCACCGTGGATAAGTCTACATTGCGCATCGATGTCGGAAATTTGTTGTTGGACAACTTGCGAACTTTGGCTCATAGATTCTCTGAAAACATAACTGGCCTTTTATTTAGCTGGACAAGTATAATATATCCTGTAATTAAAAAGGAAATTGACAAGTTTTCGGATCAATATACAAGTGGAGAGTGGCCAAAACAACCGTTCAAACACATTAAGTTACACAAAGTTCTTTTGGACATCATAAAAGCGAGATGGTACAGTCATATTTTCATCATTTTATTTGTTTATCAAAAAATAGGAAGTCAAGCTCAAAGCCTTTATGATAGGCTAATTAAGATAATAAACGAAGAAGTACATTTTTTTCATACTGACGACCCATTCTTTAACGACGTACTAAATATATTGAGTGAATTATATACACCCGAAGATGAAATGCTAAATACAATTATACAAAAGCTAGAGGGGAAGTAAACCGCATTCTAGGCAATTTCACTGAACGAAATTCTGATTATAAAGAGCCAACGATTGATTTGGAATTGATTAAAAGTGCGACTAGAAATTATAAGAAACCCAAATTTCTAGAAAATCTTTTACTTAGATTTTTAAACTTCGTTTTAGATACTAAGAGAGGCATGAGTAATACAAATTTAAGTACTCTAGTATTGTATATAAGAGGAAACCAATTCGCCGACTTTATCTTCTCAAATGAATATTAATGGAACCTTTGAATATCAGTTGTAAAAATAAAAATATTTCATTTCAAATTATTAAGAACGTATTAAAGTTTATATTTACTATTTAACTAAATTGGTGTCCATTGCTAAAAGATTTGATTCGATTCATAGTAAAAAATTGTCAATCATTTAACTGTTGTCTTTTTCAATGAAAAATCTAAATAAAACATGTAAAAATTATTATCAATCACTTTGTTACTCATTTTCAATTAAAAAAAATGTTTGTATTATCTACGAGTGAAGACCGTATAATTAGGGAGCTTCAAGTAAACAGTAAAAATATATGTACCAGTGAATTCACCATATTACTAATAATACATTTTTAAGCACATAATTTCTTAACAGAGCGTTTATTGATTCCCACCACCTTTTCCAATCGAACCGATTATTAGAAAGTGACATTTTTATTTCTTATAAAGCTATAAAGATTCCTGAAAACCTGTGACCTCCGCCAATCTAATATGCAATATATTTGTTATTTAAATATTTTAGTGTTTAAATTTTATGATTAAATATTAATTTTTTAAATGACGGCAAATTCGAAACTTTAGGGGAGCTCCAAAAA